CCCCAACTTTGGAACTTGCAGCCAGAGTACTTGAAGCTCACGAACCGTATAGTCCTGTGCTACTTCCCCCATGGAGTATTAGATTTTAACTCACAGCCCAGACCCCAAATGCAGCTCGTTTATAGCCATATGTTACGTAGCAAGTATAGGCACCTCACCTCATGGCTGGGCATCCTGTTAATGAGATACAAGGGGGGTGTTCCAGTCAGACGCATGATCTGCTGCAGTTGATTAATATCTTAGGAGCCTCGTCAAGGGCTTTAAAGGCAGAACATACTACGCTGTCAGCAACTGGGAATATCACCTTAGGGCAATATCACGCAGTGCCCTATATAAACAAAGCTTTAGCACAGCAATCTTCATATTCGTGGAAAAAGCTGTGCTAGGAAAACAAATATGATTATCCAGTCAAATATCCCGAACACCCAACTTTCAGTACTATGGGTAACCAAAATTAAGACACTAGTAAAACACACTTTAATATGTGTAAATCGGCATGCAAATCTAAGTTAATACTTAGAAACAGTTTTATCAAGAATTCTGCTAACAAATTAATCATTAAACACCCATGCATTTTTCCCCCCAAAATGTCATGCTTAAAGAAAGATCACCATCCACACTGTCTTTATAATACCCACGCATTAAAAGGCACACACATGCAGATCAGGAACACAGCAAAATACTTAAAGGGTGTGATCATGAAACCAAAGTCAAAGATATTGTGAAGTTCTATGCTTTTTTTTTTACTATTGGCAATTATTCAAAAACTGATCATCAGGGACTGAATAGGTTTTACATGCTACAATTCTAGAACACTGTCTTCTCATCAAAACACACCTCCACTCTTTGGCATATGCCAGAGAAGCACTCCCCAAACTCACATTCTGTGCGTTAGTTAGTGTCAGCTTATACCTGCATTACCACTTCCATTTATTTATGCCTATACAAGCTCAGAGGTATAAATTAGGGATTGTGCATGCAGTTTTTTCTCAGTCTTTCCAATGTATTATTTTTATTAAACAAATAACGTAGACCAAGAGCCTGCCTTATTGCCAGGCAAGGAACACATGTAAAAGGACAGGACAAACATACCCTGGATGTTCGTCATCCCCTTTCTAGCATATATTTCAGCAGGGCAACTATGCAGACAGCCATTTCTCTATTTTAGTAGTGCTTTTTAAGTTGGGTTCCAAGTGTGGTGTTTGCCATTACAGATTAAAACCCCCAAATCTGTAATAACCAATACAAAGGACTTAAAAACCATCGCTCTACTGATAGGGGAAAATAACCCTACACATATTCTTGAATCCCATTTTAGTCACGCGTGTGTTCTATTCCCTAGGCAGTAAATGTATTTGAATCTTTCATATATCTGTTCCTTTCCCTTTTTAACCCAAAAATCTCTGTGTACACAAAACCGAGTCCAAAAGCTAAGAAATTAGGCAAACCAAACTGTTAGAGATAACTTTAAAAAAAAATTAAATGACCCAGTTTTTTTGCAGGTAGAACGATTTCTAATGACAGAGTTCCTTTAACAGAACTCTGGTCTCACTAGCTTCACAAATATATTGTTTTATGATTGTTACCCTTTAAGCTTTAGTGTGAAAATGGCAAGGATGAAGGGGGAGTGGGATGGTGGACATGCAAATATGTATTAATTTTAGTAATTTAATTAGGAGGGGTGCTCATTATTTCAACACACTTTAGGAAAAAGGATTAGGATGTTTGTTTTAGTGTTAGGCCAAGGATAATACATAAACACTTATATGCCGCCTTGATTTCTGTACAAGGTTTTAATTTATAGAAATCATTAGGAATCATACAAGAGGAATTATTATGTAATCGTGCAAGAACTATTCATAGTTTCATAAAATGATCAGGAACTCCTTAAATCTCAATGTTCACCATGGAAGCTCAAGGTGCAGAGAATGCTTAGAAATAGCTGGGACACATTTTTATCTCCGTGACACAAACATAAGACTCACAGCCTCCGAGGAGATTTTCTGCAGTAGCTCGGGCTCAGGGGTTCCAACCAGCCTCAAAATTAGCTTCAACTGATCAATATCTACAGTTGGGCTATGAAGGAAAATGTGTGACAAGTGACACAATTGCCACAAACCAGACAAGGGTAGGGATGAGCTTTCCCCTTCATAGAGGACTAAATTAGAAAGACAGAAAGGGTTTGGAAAGGGTTACAAAGATACATTACTGAAGATGGGAAATGAGAAGGGGATGGTTTACACCAAAGCAGGAATAGCAACAACATATAAAACAAGGAATACTCATCGCTCATGCACCAACCACAGATAGAGTCAAACACACACAAATATAAAAACAAAACATATGCCAAGTGGTAAATCAGTAAGAGCATTGCAAATACACAAAGAAATAATAACAAAAACAACAATAAATAGGCACATTTCCCTTACCTTAATAAAAATTCAGATGCAGGGTGCAAGCAATTATTCTTTGTAAATATTTTGGGAACAATTTTGTTCATGATAAAGACAAACTCCTGAAACTGAGAAACTCCTCTACTATGTTTATGGCTCATTTCAGAGCACTACAGTTCATGATGTTCTTCTAAACCTGAAGGCAGACAGTAGTTTCAACAGAAAAGGAAGTCTTAGGCCTCAAACATGGGAATTAAAATCCATGCTTCCAGGTACATTTGAAGCCGAGTTCTAAACGCACCCGACAGCATGTAATGTTTTGCTATAGCTGAACACACACTTAGACATTTAGCTGCGCCTAGGTGAATTCAGTTTAGCTGTGTTTGTAGAAGCAATAACTTTCTGCCTCCTGGGACCGTTTAGTCTGGTTTTACGCAGCTAGACATATAAACATGGCTAAACGTGTCTAAATTTAGGAACATCTAAAACACAGGAAAAAAAGTGATCTGTGAAGCATAAAAGTTGTTCATACTTCCCAGATAACGTCAGTGTTTAACGCAGGAGGCCCATATGCAGGAGGCCTTAGTCTGCTGCAGTGGCTGATCTATCTACAGGAAACATTAAAACAAGTGTCATTCTACATATTTCATCTATTCAGCTCCAAATATGCAGTACCTGATCAACTGTATCTATGTATTTTATAAAAAAGTTCAGATATCTAAATATAAACAGAGCTGATAAATCTTCAAAGCAGTGTACATAATTGGCAAGACCAAGCTGTAGAAATCAGAATGATCACTCCAAAGCATTCAGGCTTTTCTTTTTTTAATCAATTCCAAAGAAACTAGATATTAACATACAAAGAAATGTATTTTGATGATTGGCATATATTGAACAAATGAAAAGTTGAGAAAAAGTTGAGAAAAAATTAAAGAAAAATATGTTTTTTTTTAAAAACTTTGCTTGTTTTTGTTTTGTCGGGGGATTTTAGGTGGTTTGTATCATATGATTTACACAACATGCCTACCACTTTCAAGATGCAAAGTATTTTTTATTGTGATACTAATAGGACAAAAATGCCAGAAAAAAAACTTGGGTTTGCATTAGAGATGCACCGCAATGGAATTTTGAGACTGAAACCAATAACAAAAATATTCAGGCCAAAACCGAAAATGTTTTTCCCTAACCTTTTTAAAATTATTATTTTTTATATTTTATTTATTTTACTTTACTGTTGGGGGCTCTGGGGAAATATCAGGAGTCTCAACAGACCTCTGATGTTTCCCTTCTGAAATAGAGAGATTGGGGACACAGAGTCCTCAATCTCTTATCCTGCATCCCCTGTTATGAATTAAAAGGAAGCTTCTATACTGAGTGCTCCTGTCCATTCATAACCTGTGGATACAGTATCCACAGGTTATGAATGTTATATAGAGTTACTATGTCCACAAATCATGAATGAACAGGAAGTGATGTACAGCATGTTCTATTCATTCATAAATGGGGACACAGTAAACATACTATGTCCTCAATCATTTACAAACACTCAGCGATCAGTACTAATCCTTGAGTGCTTGTAATCGCTCTCCATCCTGACTCCTTTGGCTGTCACAGGAAGCTGAGCGAGCAGTGTGGGGAGGAGAGCTCAGTCTACTGTGACACCGTTGACAGCTGACTCCTCCCCCACACCGCTGACAGAAATTACAGCTGCAAGTCTCTTGGGGTACGTCTCTATCAGCTTGGCACATCTAGCCACTAGGATTATTGCCCATTCTTCAAGGCAAAACTGTTCCAGCTCCTTCAAGTTGGATGGGTTTTGCTGGTGTACAGCAATCTTCAAGTCATGCCAGATTCTCAACTGGATTGAGATCTTGACTTTAACTAGGCCATTCCAAGGCATGTAAATGTTTCCCATTAAACCACTCGAGTGTTCCTTAAGCAGTATGTTTAGGGTCATTGTCATGCTGGAAGGTAAACCTCCGTCCCCGTCTCAAATCTCTGGCAGACAGAAACAGGTTTCCCTTAAGAATTTCCCTGTATTAAGCGACATCATTCCTTCAATTCTGACCAGTTTGCCAGTCCCTGCCAATTAAAAACATCCTCACAGCATAATGCTGCCACCACCATGCTTCACTGCGGGGATGGTGTTCTCGATGTGATGGGAGTTTTGGGGTTTGCGCCAGACACAGCGTTTTCCTTGAAGGTTAAAAAGCTCAATTTTAGTCTCATCTGACCGGAGTATCCCACATACCTTTTGGTGAACAGCAAACGTGCTTGCTTGTTTTTTTTCTGTAGCCAATGGCTTTTTCTGCCCACTCTTCCATGAAGGCCAGCTCTGTGGAGTGTACAGCTTAAAGTCGCCTTATGGACAGATAATCCAATCTCCGCTGTGGAGCTTTGCAGTTCCCACAGGGTCATCTTTGGTCTCTATGGTGCCTTTCTGATTAATGCCCTCGTTGCCTGGTCTGTGAATTTTGGTGGGCAGCCCTCTCCTGGCAGGTTTGTTGTGGTGCCATATTATTTCCATTTTTTTTATAATGGATTTAATGGTGCTCTGGGGGATGTTCAAAGTTTTAGATATTTTTTTTAAAACCCAACCCTGATCTGTACTGCTCCACAACTTTGTCCCTGACCTGTTTGGAGAGCTTCTTGGTGGTGCTGCAAACTCTGGGTCCTTTCAGAACAGGTGTATATATACTGAGATCACGTGACACATAGTGCATACAGGTTGTCTTTATTGAACGAATTACGTGATGTCTGAAAGTAATTGGTTGCACCTAATTTTATGTAGGGGCTCCATAGCAAAAGGTATGAATACATATGCATGCAACACTTTTCCGTTAACTTTTTTTTTAAATTATAAAAAAAATTAATAATTTCTTGATTTCACTTCACCATTTTGGACTATTTTGAGTATGTCCATTACATGTAATTCAGATCAAATTAATTTTAATTCTAGGTGGTAATGCAACAAAATAGGAAAAATGCTATTGCAAGCCACTGTAGTTCAGGTTAATGGAGTCTCCTTGTATAGAGAATGTGTGCCCTTAACTAAGACCACCTTATAATGAAGTGCAAAGTGTTTCTGAAATGCAGATATTTGCCACAAATGTAACTTTTCTTTTTACATGATTGAAAGGATACGGTCTGTGCCTGGAAACAGGGTTCGACCTGTTAAGAGTTCGGCCATAATACATCCAACCGACCAGATATCCACTGAAAGATATTATGAAAACTTAAAAATTGCACAAACTTAGGACTACTGTATAGGCTCAACTTTCATTATAATTCAGCAATATATTTTGTCCACTACGTTTGACAAGAGCCGTTTTGTGCTAACCAATTAAAAATTAGAACATAAATATAAAGCACAGAAGAGGGCATCTCATACAGCACTCCATTGAGTATCCATAAAGAAAAGAAAGCATAGTGTATCTTGGCAATGAATCATATGAAATTTGTATTAATTATAAAAAAATGGTGCGGCTACAGCATTATAAAGGCATGTGAGAAGTGAAAGTAATAGACATTAAAATAAAATGACCATGGTATACCTGTCTGGTTATAATGCATCCAATTTAGCATTATTTCTGGAGCCCGGTACCACCTTGTTGCCACATACCCAGTCATCTCTTCATCCGTATGTCGTGCCAGCCCAAAGTCAAGAATCTAATGAACACAATAACCTTTTAACATGCCAACTAAGCAAAAAAAAAACCTGTAACATTTTAAGGAGAGCTGCTAAAATTAAATGTTGCTGTACTATTTATTGTGCTTTCAGTTAGATGGAGACATAAGCCCTCGCTCACACCTGAACGTTTTGTAGCGCGTTCTACGCTCAACGAACGCTCTACAAAACGCTCAAAAAAATAAATCCCATTGTATTCAATGGTCTTGTTCCCACCTTAGCGTATTTCCGCCCGTCCCTAACGCGCTACAAAACGGCCCACGCCTGAAAAGGTACAGGTACTACTTTGGGCCGTTTTGTTGCGCGTTTCCATTGGGATACAGCCAAGTAGCCTTCGGAAACGCGTGGGGGGTCGTCGCCCGACTTTTTACCGCGAATCGCGGTAAAAACGCGCGACAGACGCGCATATGCAATACGCCTAGGTGTGAACGAGACCTAAATGTACAAACTTTTTCTATGGGATAACTTAGCTGCTGCTTCATTATAGGGCTTGTTCACATTATTCCGTTGGGTTGCAATGGGCAAGCTTTGGACTCTCCAAGGGAGATATTAAGGCTGAGGTGCGAGTACCATCTCTCAGCTCTGGGAGCTCTATTCTGTATAAACAGGACTAGGTCACAATAAAAAGGAGTTGAATTAAGCCTTTCAGTGCCTTAGAAAAAATGTAATGGCAGCCATAGACATTACAGGGTGGTCAGACATGCAAGCATGAATATACAATAGGCACAATACGTCCTTTGCACTGCTGAAGCAAAATCTGCTTGTTGATGTTAGATGTGTAGTAAGCTACTGCGTGCTGCTGCATCTGCTCTATCAATGTTGGGGTTCAACGAGTTGCCAAGCAATAAAAAAAATAGGATTTTTGTACTCTCCGTAAAATCCTTTTCTCTCTGTTCATTGAAAGACACAGGGAGATCTGATCAAAGATCATGTACCGTAGGGTAATATCACCACCTGCAGGAGAAGGACGCTAGGCACAAAAGACAAAGACAGCCTAGGGGCCATACCTCCCACCTGCCGGCAAGTCTCCAGTAAGTAACAAAGCAGTAACAGTCAGAGGGATGGGCACTAAAAAAACAAAATTTCCCCAAAAGAGACCCCTCTACAGGGCCGCCTGCAAAACCTTGCGTCCCAGGCCAGCATCCGCAGATGCCAAAAAATCCACCTTAGAAAACATGGCAAAAGTATGAACGGAAGACCAAGTCGCGGCCTTACAAACTTGAGAAACAGAGGCACTATGACGAAAAGCGCAACATGCCCCAACAGCCCTAGTAGAATGAGCGGTAACAGAAAAGGGAGGCTCACGCCCCCGAATGGCATATGCTTGAGGAATCGTGTTACAAATCCATCGAGTGATGGTAGCCAAAGATGCGGCCTGGCCCTTCCAAGCACCTTCCGTAGCCACAAAACAAGGAATCCGTCACATTGAAAGAAATAGTAGTAGTATTCAAATAAAACATGGAGAGCGCAAACCACATCCAAACAGTGCAGCGCCCTCTCCTTCCTATGAACAGGCTTCGGACATAGAGAATTCAAGACGATGTCCTCGTTCAGATGAAACGCTGAAACAACCTTAGGCAGGAAGGACGGCCAATGAGGTAGTACAACCTTGTCTCTATGAAGGACCAATAACAGCGACTTGCAGAACAAAGCCGCCAACTCCGAACCCCTGCGAATGGAAGTACCACCTGGAGCTCCTCTCGCCTGATCAGCGCGCCGCTGACTCATCCCTGCTCCCCTGCCTGACTGGCCGCTGCGGGGGGGTTTTCTTCTTCTTACTTACCTCGCCAAGCGTCGCTGCTGCTGCGGTGTGCGGCGCTCCGAGCGGGGTCATCTGGCAGTCTCCGGCCACCTAAATTAGGACCCGGAGACTGCCAGATGACCCCGCTCGGAGCGCCGCACACCGAGCAGCAGTGACGCGACGCTCGGCGAGGTAAGTAAGATGACGCGCTGGCGCTGACTCGAGTATAAGCCGAGGGGGGCACTTTTCACCCAAAAAAATGGGCTGAAAATCTCGGCTTATACTCGAGTATATACGGTAATCGCCACCCAAAAAAGCCACCTTCTGGAACAAGGTCAGAAGCGGGACCTCCCTCAACGGCTCAAAGGGAGACTCCTGCAAAACCGAGAGCACCAGATTCAGATCCCAAGGTGGCAAAAGGAGACAATACGTGTAACCCCCTGAGCAAAGGTAAGAACCAGAGCATGAGATGCTAGGGGCTGCTGGTAAAAAACAGTGAGGGCAGAAATTTGGCCCTTCACCGTGCTCAAGGCTAACCCCTGATCAACCCAACGCTACAAAAAAGCAAGAACTCTGCTCACAGAGAATAAACATGGAGACAGAGCACCAGCCTCACACCAGGCAAAATAGGCCTTCCACATGGGATAGTAAATAATTCTAGAAACAGCTTGGTGCACCCTGGAGATAAAAGCATCTGACAACCCCCGGTCCCTCAACACCTGGCTCTCAACAGCCATGCCGTTAAAGCGGGGCCCATGCGACAGGTCTGGACAAGGTGGCAGCCGCCAGGGAACTTCCACGACCAACCGAACCACGTCCGGGTACCACACACTCCGCGGCCACGAGAATGAAGGGGATGCCTTCGGCTGCTATCCTACGTAGAAGACAAGGCTAAAGCTATAGCGGAGGGAAGGACTAAATCTGACCGTAACAGTCCCACGAGGCCACCAGGGAATCCACCGCCTCCACCCAGGGATCCTGTTCCTGGGCTATGAACCGCTGATCAACCTTCAGGTTGAGACAAGACGCCAGGAGGTCCACATCTGGCATACCCCAGCGAAGGCAGATCCAATGAAAGATCTCTGGGCGCAACAACCATTCCCCCGGATCCACTGGCTGGCGACTGAGGTACAGTGGGGCAAAAAAGTATTTAGTCAGCCACCAATTGTGCAAGTTCTCCCACTTAAAAAGATGAGAGGCCTGTAATTGTCATCATAGGTAGACCTCAACTATGAGAGACAAAATGAGAAAACAAATCCAGACAAATCACATTGGCTGATTTGGAACTAATTTATTTGCAAATTATGGTGGAAAATAAGTATTTGGTCACCTACAAACAAGCAAGAGTTCTGGCTCTCACAGACCTGTACCTTCTTCTTTAAGAGGCTCCTCTGTCCTGCACTCGTTACCTGTATCAATGGCACCTGTTTGAACTTGTTATCAGTATAAAAGGACACCTGTCCACAACCTCAGTCACACTCCAAACTCCACTATGGTGAAGACCAAAGAGCTGTCGAAGGACACCAGAAACAAAAAATTGTAGATCTGCACCAGGCTGGGAAGACTGAATCTGCAATAGGCAAGCAGCTTGGTGTGAACAAATCAACTGTGGGAGCAATAATTAGAAAATGGAAGACATACAAGACCACTGATAATCTCCCTCGATCTGGGGCTCCATGCAAGATCTCACCCCGTGGGGTCAAAATGATCACAAGAACGAATGACCTTTTGATATTGACCAAATACTTATTTTCCACCATAATTTGCAAATAAATTTGTTCCAAATCAGCCAATGTGATTTGTCTGGATTTGTTTTCTCATTTTGTCTCTCATAGTTGAGGTCTACCTATGATGCCAATTACAGGCCTCTCTCATCTTTTTAAGTGGGAGAACTTGCACAATCGGTGGCTGACTAAATACTTTTTTGCCCCACTGTATATCGGCCCATCAATTGTCCACTCATGGAATGTACACCGCGGAAAGAGCAGGAACATGCTCCTCCGCCCAGGAGAGAATCCCAGACACCTCTCTTGCCATGGTCATGCTTCTTGTGCCACCTTGATGGTCGATGTAAGCCACGGCCGTGGCGTTGTCCAACTGAACTGACAGGCCCTGAAGATGGCCCGTCCAATGATGGAGACATGTTGATCGACAGACGAGACTCCTCCAACGACCCTGCATGGTCCAGGACGCCAAGACTACTCCCCAGACCAGAAGGCTAGCGTCCATGGTGACCACAGTCCAGCGCAGAGAAAGGAAGGATTTCCCTGACACAAGAGCCGGAGATCGAAGCCACCAAACGAGGGAGAGTCTCATCGCTCAAGACATTTGAACTTCCCTGTCTAGCGACAAGGGAGACTTGTCCCACTGCGACAAGATGTCCCTCTGTAGAGTCCTGGTGTGGACGCATGAGAGCACCCGGAACGGAATACATAGTCTGCCAAACAGCTTCTGCCCTCCTATCGGTGGCATCCCGAATCTTCCACCGAAATAACAGTAGCTTTGTTCAGTCGCGAGACCGGTGGAGACACCGAGAAGAACTTAAATCGGTCTCCTCCACTCCTTGTGAATGAAATCATCAAAAGGAGGAGAGGTAAGGAAAGATCTTAGTGGAACGCCTATTTTTATGCATCCTCAATCTTGAGCGTCTCCTTGACCGAACGAATCAGAGCAGAGACCAACTCAAGCTCCTGAACCATAAAGGGAGGCCGCAGACTCATCTTCACTGCCCGAATCTTGTAGGGAAGTCCCCAGGCTCAGGACGAGTCGACGCCACAGAAATCTCCCCCTCCTCTTTCGACTCTCCCGAAAGAACAAGGGAAGTTGACGGCAGAGTGCATTTCCTTGGAGGCCTTTGCGTCAATGCGCGTTAAAAAAAAGGAGGAAAATAAAAAGGAACTCCAGACAAAAAATTCTTAGCTCCTTACTCCGAAAGCGAGGCAAAAAAACTGGAGACTTGTCAGCAGGTGGGAGGTTTGGCCATCAGCAGAGGCCGCCCCAAGGCTGTCTGTCTTTTCTTTTGTGACTAGCGTGGTGGCGATATTACCCTACAGTACATGATCTTCGATCAGATCTCTGTGTCCTTCAATTAACGGAAGAGAAAAAAGGCAAGACAGGCACTCTAAAATAATATATGAGGAAGATGAACCTGCCCTGCCTGACAAGCCCCCTAACCAGAAAAGCTACCATCCAAAGCAGGCAGAGTGCTCTGCTATCACTTTAAATGGCGACACTACTGTAAGTTATGTGCACACAAGCATCACCAATGGCTGTTGATTTTTAGGTTTAGGAGTTTCTTCAAATATGCACAAGTAGTATGTTTGATGAATATGTACACATACTATAAATGCTCTTGCTATAAAAGCCATCAGAGTTCATAGCTCTTTAAACAGGGACTTTTATTACATGAGGATATGAGAACCACACCCAATGCTTTTATAATTACAAGTACGCAGGTAATAACGAACCTTCAGCTCACAATCTTCATTAACAGCAAGGTTGCTGGGTTTTAAGTCCTTTAGATAGAAGAAAATAAACATTTGATTTACAATGAATGTGCATGCCAATAGATAGGTACTTTTAAAAAGACGCTTGCATATTTCAGTGACCGTTTCAAAGTTATTATTATTATTATAATACAGGATTTATATAGCGCCAACAGTTTGCGCATCGCTTTACAATATTAGGGAAGACATTACAAATAAAAAAGACAAGATGGTAAGGAGGGCACTTGCCGTGAAGGCTTACAATCTAAAAGGGAGGAGGAAGTGATACATGAGGAGGGTTAGTGTTGTAACATACAGCTGGGAGCAGGGCTTTGTGACAACCCCAGGGTCCTCACAAGATACACAGAAATTGATTAAAACACAGGTAATTTACCAGCACAAAATCAAATACCCAACCAGTTCACTTAAAAGGTAACAGTCTAACTGCAGGATGCACAGATTAATGCCCACTCAATGCTAGGACACATAGACAACATTTGTTTTGGGAAATACCTTTACCATGTGGGCTAAACAGGATGGAACTAGGTACCATCACAATTGAAGCTTATAGATCATTTTGACAGCTTGGGCATGAAAAGTTTTTTATTGTGCATGAATCACTGCAGTCACAGAACATCATGAAGGTTGTATATTTATACATGGCAGTATAGCATAAACATCCTCAGTGTAAAACAAAGTAGTACTTACCCTATGAATAATATCAGCTGAATGAATATACTGTAGTAATGAGAAGAAATATGGACAACCATGAGAACCAAATGATGCGGAAAAAAAGCATATTAAAAGAATCTAATGTCAACAATACTAGTTTTGCAAACTGACCTTGTATCTTTGCAGCATATTTGCTATGCGCTCCCACTGCCCCCAATTCACCATGGTAGAACTCTAAAAATGTGTACTTTCGGAAAGTCAGTATTTGTGCAATAGTATAAAATTAAACACCCCCCTTCCTAAGCAACAGAACTCAAGCCTGACGATTGGCCAATCAAGAATTAAGTAGTGAAATATAGGAGACAGTTGGAGATGCTGCAGTGCCCCATACCTGACGGTACCAGTGTTTTCTTGGGGTTCTATCACCAAATCAGGAAGGAGAGCATACAAAACACCCCCAGAAATCTAAAGTGTGTGTGGGGGGGGTCATTTTTGTTGAAATTCTCTATGATCTTCCAGCTTTTAAAAGGAGAAAGGTAATGCAGCTTTACTCATTATAATGCCAATAATGCACTAGGTGATTACAATTAAGGTTGACGCTCTCATTCAGAAATAAGTTTGTGAAAGCACATGCTGGAACATATAGCAGTTTTTTTAATAATAAAGAATAGTAGCAATCCATAAGCATTGGCTTGCAATGTGCATCGTTTGACTACAGGGAAAATTGTATACATTCTACTGGAAAAGAGGCAGCCTAGTTGGATCATGTAGAAGGCACGGAGAGCATGGAAACTACCAGAACCTGGGAGCTTTCCACAGAAGCTGGGCTTTGAGGCTGCTGCAGGTATGTGTATGCAGCTCTATCTAGGCCTCTACCAAAAATCTTGAGAAATCCTTATGTGAATTCCACAGGGAAACAGACACTTAAGAGTTTCCCTGGTTCGTCCTACAGAAGAGAGTAATGACGTGAAGATCTCCAGGAGGTACCAGTGAAAGCTGTAGGGGACCAGGAAGATGACACTCCTGGAAACGTTGTTTTCCCTACAGACTTTGCATGAAGATTTCTGACTTTCAGAGTGAGGGTCGCTGGCATGGGCAGCGAAAAAGGTAAGCATTTCAAGATGACTTTTACAGGTATGGCTTCATTTTACATCTTTAGTATAGCGACACAGTCGGTCGCTCAATATTTGTTTTCCAGTTGATAAAATAAAATTCCTTTCACATTTTAAAGCCCCAGCACACCTTTTTTTCCTTCAAATTGTTGACATATAATAAAGAACTGTAGATTCAGGTAAAAAAACTTACCTGAATCTAAAAGAAACAGCCTGCCACAATCTTGACATCCGGTCGCTTAAAACTGCCCTGCTGCTGAGCAAGCATGCACAGTCAATCCCCACAGACTTCTAAGGGGTTGTCCCTTTCATGCATGAGGACTTGGACGATGGCCCCATACAACTGTTTGCAGAATGGCTGTACTGGCAAGGCCAACGGCAAGAAATATTTCAGTCATAGGTTGTAAAGATTGCAGGTATCCAGAATTGGAAGATTCAGGCAAGTAAGCATCTGCACCAAATGAGGGTGGGATACTTTCCTTCATGGGAGCTAGGCTGGCAAGAGGAGTGTATTTTATGCAATCGCACAGTTATTTAACATAGTTGTTGAGTATTCATTTTTTAATGAAAACAAAATTAAAAACACTTTAGCTCCTACAATATATAAAGTCAAGCAAGTCCACAAATATGCTTCACAGCTAGCTAAACTGGCAGAATTAGGGGTCTAAAAGCTCAGCTTTCCTTCTTTCATTATAGATTTTAGTGCTGTGCAGGCACCTCACCTTAGTGGATTTGCATACAGATTTATATCAGACAGATATGCATGTTCTTTAGATTAGTTACATCCTAGCCAACAGTGAGCTAAACTGATGTTGGAATCCCTTCTATAATGTAACACTGAAAAAAAAAATGCATGTGCACAGAAGCTCACTCTTTTTTGTAATATTCACCACATTATAGATGCATGGGAAGCATACAGGTGAAACTCGAAAAATTAGAATATTGTGCAAAAGTTAATTTATTTCACTAATGCAACTTAGCCGTCTACCAGGAGATTTTGGAGCACTTCATGCTTTCTTCCGCAGACTAGCTCTATGGGGATGCTGACTTCCTTTTCCAGCAGGACTTGGCACCTGCCACACTGCCAAAAAATTTCTGAGATTGTGGATCTGGGTTTTCATGAGCTGTAAGCCATAATCATCACAGTTATGACAAATCACGGCTTGAACTATCTTGCTTTGCATGTAATGAGTCTATCTCATATATTAGTTTCACCTTTCAAGTTGCATTAGTGAAATAAATGAACTTTTGCACGATATTCTAATTTTTTGAGTTTCACCTGTATATGGGTTCTCTTTGTTTTCTAGGGTAAAAAGGGACAGATCTCCTTTGATCAACTTTTAACCATCTACGTACCTTAAGACCTCGTAAAATTTGATATATTAGGAACTGCACATGATCATCTGTCAGCTTCTGACATTTTACAATATTGTTAAGGTCTGCTCCCATTAGATGCGTCACCAGATACCTAGATAACAAAAAAATTTTTGGATTGTTAGTGACAGGAACTAATCTCATTAGAAATAAATTAAAACTTCACACATAAGAGCATTGAGAAGACCTCCCCGTGTGGGGATTCTCTTTCGTATTCTAATTAGAAGGCTAAAAGCAGGGTGGGGACACATAAGTTGTAGATATTAAACCCCTGTGCCACCTTCTAACTATAGTGTGACAGGAATGCGATTATCTGACCAGAACTTCAAATGTTTGGCAAGAAAGACAGCTCATATGTCAACTTTTAACCTCAAATTGCTTCGGGTCAGCATATTCTATAATTATACGTTCAAAGCATATTTTATACGTTTTGTTTTATACAATTTTTTATTATTTATAGAAAATCTTCCTTTTAAGGACACAGCAAATGCTGTTTGTTTACTTAAACGTGATAGGGGAGTGAAAGAATTAGGCACTTTTGTGTGGAAAATTTAACTCTGTAAATAACATTTCATGTTTCAACAGGGAAGTTAAGAATAGACACAGTGGGGCTACCCCACACTGAGGGTTAAGTGCTTGCTTTGTCTAGGGGACTCAAATAGAGCAGATATACTCCCCTGGTCCTCGGTCCAGCAAGGTTACCAGACCAGACCTTGGAGGCTCTCCTCCCCAGGGCTCCGGCCATCTAAGGACCGCTGACATTATCACGTCTAATGAAGGTCCATTCACTTGCATTAGACAGGAGGACACCGAGGGACACTCCATAGCTAGAGCGGGGGGGAGGGGACAGAAGTGAGTGGGACCAATGATCAGGTGAGTAAAACAGCTTTATTTGAGCCCCCAAGACAAAATGAGTACTTAACCCCTGCAGTGCGGGGTTAGCCCCACTGCAAGTGTACAATTTTTAAAATCCTTCTTTAAGTTATGATAGTAATAAAGGAAATAGTTATAAAAAAACAAAATTAGTTCCCTTTAAAATTGGGCAAAGGCCACCAAGAATTCTTTAGATCACTTAAAGTGAACCTGTATTCCATTTCAAAGTTTTACAAGGTCTGCCTACTAGTATATATTACAAAAATGCTTTTTTTTTGCATCTAATAACCAAAAAGTGCTCTCTTGTGCCCTCTTTGACTTCGTGTCACACTTTTACTGGGTTTTGACTAGGGATGCACCGAAATTTCGGCTGCCGAAACATATTGGATGAAAATGGCACTTTGGCCAAAATGCAGAAAGTACCATCTTTCGGACGAAAATGCGATGCATCCCTAGTTTCTCTCCTCCTTACTGTGCGCTGCTCTGTGTCCCCTCTGACACAGCACCCAGCAGGGAGGAGAGAAACTGTCAGAGCAGTGCGGGGAGGAGAGCGCTGTGAGTGTGTCACAGGAGGCTGAGCTCTCCTCCCGTGCCGCCCCACTCAGCTTCCTGCTCTACGTCACTTCCTATTTATTCATGATTGTATAAATAGTAACTCGTACTATATCCACAATGTGTGAATGAACAGGAACACTAAGTACAGTATTCCTGTTCATTCAGTGCGGAGGCTGCAGAAAGAGATTGAGGACTCTGTGTCCTCAATCCCTTTTTCTATTGTAAAAGGCATATATCGGGAGTCTGTTTAGACCCCTGATATTTCACCAAAGCACCCAGCAGTAAAGTTAATAAAAATAAATTAAATATATATAAAAAAACATTTTCAAGTTCAGACAAAAAAAAATAAACTTTTTTTTTTAAAGTGTAAAAAAGGAAAACACGGTTACAACATTTTTTTTTTAGGATCGGTTTCAAAATTTCTGTGCACCTCTAGTTTTGACTTTCCGAGGCTGTATGCCTAAGCTCCACAAACTGCCACCACTGTTTCAAAGAGATTGCCAGTACATATATCATCAGGCATCTACGGGAGTTTGCACTTAGGCAGGATTTGACTAGTATAAAATGAAACACAGTTTAAATCATGTAATTACTTTTGACATCTACTGTAGTATCAGTAAAGGCCCAGTATGAGCAGTGGCTGCTGAATACAATAACCCAAAGTTAGCATGGGTGGGGTAGCATGAATGGAGGATTCTGTTCCTCCTGCAAGCTGAACAAAAAAAAAGGTATCTATAAGTGTTTGGTAAGCCTTAAACTCGAGGTCTATGTGTAGACTGCTTTTTAAAAGGAAAACTGTACTTAAAGGCTGCCACTGCTATCCTCTACGGAATTTTCTAATAAATAATTAGAATAATTTATCAATAATCAGAGTCACTGACCTCAAGTAAGTTCAGGAGTGCAAGCATATTGCTAGTGATATTTTATTTCAGATTTGTGAATGAAAATAAGAACCAGTATTGTAAAAAGAAAAAGCCAAAAACAGCCTAAATATTCGTCTCAGCAGAGAAGTACATATAATAAGCCTTTATAATGTAGATACTTCTTGAAGAATATTCAATTATGGCCGCTACAACGAAAACTCTTACTCACACATCATTAAACTCCTCAAATGACTTTGAAGGGGTAAAAACATCTAAGAGTCCGATGACCTGTAAAAAGATATAAACCGATACAAATTTTGCTAGTAAATCTAAAGAAATAAAAAATACTTTACTGCCATTATATCAAGTCTAAGAAAATTCATAAAATATTTAGTGATATTAAAGTCAAAAGGTTTTCAAGCAATTTCAAAATACTAATTAAATCACTTACTATGGATACTGCTCCTTAATGTTTAAAAGTTTTAGAGCAGTGGTTCTCAACCTTTCTAGGGCCAGGACCCCTTGGTAACATTTGCCAAGTTGTGGTGACCCCGAACGGTAAAGTTTAGGGATGACGGGGCTGCTGCAGCAACATCTGGCGGCTTGGCAGGAGAACTGACACTGCGCTAGGAGAGGGCTGAGGAGGACTCTCACCTTATTATTGTTTATTTTTTATAAATTTTCTTATTTCTTTTTAATCGCTTTTTTATTTTTTAAATTCTTTTATTTTTATTTCTTTAATTTGAGAACCACTGTTTTAGAGTTTCCTGCTGACTCAGCTGGTCCTGATTTCCTGCTTTAGGGTGGTTCCTTTCACTTGCAGGGTCCTATGGAGCTACCCATGTGTGTGCTAGTAATCTGTGTGTGTCTACAAACACACAGACATGGCAAGGCAAGTAGTTCCCCTGCAACTCCTTCCTTACTTCTCCCTCCTTCCTCCTCCAGGCTAGATGGACACTGCTGAAGAAGACTGCTCTGTCCCGTGTGATCTTTTACTGGACAGGACATTCAGGGAAGCAGAGATGAGAGTTGGAGCGGTCTGAAACATGATGACTAAGTGTTTGGGCAAAAATGTAAATACATTATTTGCTGGGCAATGTACAGTATATTTGTTAAATCTGGATTAATAATTGAAAAAAGTGTGAGTTTAATACTACTTTAAAGTGCACCTGTGTCCATTCTACAAACAAAAAAATATTTACATATTATTAAGCAGTAAAAGAGCATTAAGAAAACAAGCCCACCCAGACCTGTCTAGCTGCTAGAAAAAAAAGCAAAGAACTGAATTTTGAAAACTATTATTATACAGGATTTATATAGCGCCAACAGTTTGTACAGCGTTTTACAAAACGGGAGAGGCAATACAGTTAACAAGACAATCACATCCCATAGGGTTAGAAAGGTCCTGCTCATGAGAGCTTACAAATAAATAGTTCCAATTCTTATAGATACAGAAGTGAAAAAGGACTTGTTTTAATTTTATTTTTTTTAACAGCTTGTTAAAAAAATAAGCCAACCAAGACCTTTCTAAGGCTTGGTTCACACCGGTACGTTTTGTAGCGCGTTCAACGCTCTACGAACGCTCTACAAAACGCTCAAACATGAAAATCCCATTGTTTTCTATGGGTATGGTTCACACCTTGCCGTATTTAAGCCCATCTGAACGCGCTACAAAACGGCCTACGCCTGAAACGGTACATGAGCTTCTTTGCGGCGTTTTTGTCGCACGTTTCCATTGGGATACAGCCAAGTAGCCCTCAGAAACGCGCATTTGTCACGCGTTTTTTAACCGCGAATCGTGGTAAAAACACGCAGCACGAAACGCGCATACTTGATACGCCTAGGTGTGAACCCAGCCTAAGGGGGAGTGAGGATGAGGAGCTCAACCACAAACTATCTCTATTTAAATAGGTGCAATATTTGGCCCTGATGGCTCCGTTCTGGCAGCTCTTCACAAAACAGGGGGGTCATCCACATGAATGAAGACTAAAAGTCAGGCATCTGTCTCAAGAGTCCAAAAAAACATTTAATTGGCTTTAGATATTACCACAAAAAGATATGCACAGCCAACAAGTATCGGTGGTAAGTATTCCCCCTTCATTAGGGCTTAAGCAATGAACAACAGGACACTGATGGACTCTAAACTGGAGAATGGACTCTTAACTGAGAAATCCTTTTTTTAATAAAGTTAAATAACAATAAGAAAAAAAAAACACCCCCAAAATTTTTTTTCCTCACCCCCCACACACATGCAAATACAAGCGCAAAAAAGCATTGGCGAGCCCATGTACGAAAACAACGATTGCGCCGCACATGTTGGGGATCGCCATGCACGCAAGAGTGAAAGCAATAATCCTAGGGCTATTACATAATTACCTCTAAGCTGATGACCTGTAAAAGCTTTTAAAGCCTAGACAATTTTGGGTACTGTCGTTTTTCACCATTTTAAGGGTGCACGCAATTATGGAGCTTGTCATGTATGTCTATTTACTCAGAGCAACCCATTTTAAATTTAACCACACAAAATGGGTAATATTTTGTGCTTATGTGCACTAAAATTAACTCAAGTATATTCTTTACTGACAATTTGGGTTTGAAAAACGGTTGAGCTATTATTATGCGACATAAAAAAATTGCAACTGTCACCATTTTATTCTCCAGGGCCCCCGTTTTCAGGAAATATATAATTCTGGGGAGGTAATATGTAGGCCTAAAATGTGCATTTTACGTGTGCAAAAATGGATCTGGCAGTGTTAAAGGAGAACTATGACTTAAGGGCAAATAAAAATACCCCTTACCTTGATTGTAGTAGCATCGTTCTTTTTTTCTAAATTCGCAGCACATCACAGATAAAAACCCTCAAAGCTGTAGTAAATGGCTGTCTTCAGCCATGCTCCTTTCCTCTTAGGGGGCGTTAACATTTGATCCAGCCCGCCCACGGCTTTTTTTTCAAATGATATCATTGCTGTGGCCGCGCTTCCTCTCATCGTGCACAGCTGTGTTTTGTCAGCTCGTGCACGCAGGTTCCTTCCCCTCTCTCTCTCTGCATGCTCTGTTTGACGCTGACATCCTCAATTCACTGGGGATCGCTGATGAGAGAGGGGAAGGAGCCCTCTCTCTCTCTTCAGCATTTACTACAAATCGTAAAGTCCATATATGGTAAATGATGTCACTGGAGATCCCTGCTGATCGGATCCGATCAGCAGGGATCTCCAGTGACATAATTTACCATATATGGCCTTTCCGATTTGTAGTAAATGCTGAAGAGAGAGAGCTCCTTCCCCTCTGTCATCAGCGATCCATGATCTGTCAGCAGAGAGAGAAAGAGAGAGTGGGGAAGGAGCTGGCACACGGGGACGTGCATGTAAGGAGAGAGCTGCTGCGCATGTCCATATATTCGTGAGCAGCTCTCAAGAATCACTGTCAGTCATCAGTGGGGAGAATCCCGTCAGATACATCGGGATGTCTTCTCATTGCGGCGCTTAGCCCCGCCCACCACCTAAAATAAGGTTTTACAGCCTTCCTGTGCATTTTGGCTAATTACAGTAAATTACATAATTTACTTATTTAGCCTAAGGAATGCATTCATAAAAAAAAGATAGAACCCCATAGTTCTCCTTTAATGCTGCAGAGAAAATGCTTTGCATGGAGTTCAGTCCAGTCACTCCCAGCTTTTATGTCTCACACACACAAATTTTTAAGTTATCTGTGCTCCATTATGTGCTTATGTAAGATCAAACCACTGCTTTATGCATGGAGGGTCAAGTGTGATCCTATTTGGGTACATATCATTTGTTTACCATTGCAGTTGTCATATATACATTTGGATGGAGTTATTTTTCCAACCCTGGTGAAAATAGATTACTCACATTTTCATGTTTCATATGCTTTAGCAGGCGAATTTCTCTATAAGTACGTTTAGCATGGATTATAGATTGAAATGGTCGCGACAGCTTTTTCACCGCAACTCGCTGTTCTGTTTTTGTGTCATACGCTGAGCTGTGGAAGAGATACAAAAACAAAATCATGATCCGTAAACAGCGCCAATCCAACATAGCAATGTATATTACATACTCTAATCACTATAGCAGACTAATACATAAATATGTGCAGCTGTATAAAACTAGGCAACTATATATAATTAGTGATGCTCCATAGAGCCATACACACCTTATGTTGGAGATTTTTATACAGAATTATTTTTGTCTCTTTCTAGTCACTGTCCTATATGTTTATTTCTAGTTAATGTATATTTCCTTCCTACACCATGCACTTGCAAAACAGTGACAAACTATGATTGCTAAAATTTCAAGTAGGCAGCTCTTTACTTTAGAGTTGGGGTTAGTTCACACCATAAGCAGGGCGTTCCGGTCCGATTCTGGCCGGAACGCACTGCCTGGCATTGCGGCCAGCTCACTTTCTTGCCGCGCTGGAGGGGGTGTGGCGGGCCATTGAAGTGAATGGCACCGTAGCCACGCCCTCCGGCAGCAATGCGATCGCCCGCTCAGGATCACAAGGCACATTGTGCCTGCTGTGCGGCCTGTGCGATCAAAATGCTGCAAGCACTATGCTGCACTGCATTAACCACTTGAAGACCCTGGCGTTAAACCCCTATTCCTGTCCAGGCCATTTTTCAGTATTCAGCACTGAGGTACTTTCAATGACATTTATTCAGTCATGCAACGCTGTACTGAAATTAATTTTATATAATTTTTGGGGGGACACAGAGCTTTCTTTTGGTGGTAATCAGCACTGGGGTTTGTATTCTTTACTATATAAAGACATTTTTTTGGGGGGGAGGGGACTGTTTTTCCTACATTATGCTTTGAAACATTATTACACCATTTTTTGGTAAAATATTTTTTTTTAAACGGGGTTACATCAGATAAATAGACACCAAACATGTCAAGCCTTAAAATTGCAAAAAACTACCATGCCCAAAATTGGACATAAGGGACGCTTTAAAAAGCTTTTACTGCTCATCAATTTAGTGTTAACAATGATTGATGGTCCTAGAATTGCTTGCACACCAACTTTAACAGTGATATGTAACATGTGAGGCGCAATCGTTGTTTTCGCACGTAGGTGAACCCCATGCATGTTTGCATGTGTGTGCACATGGGGGCAAGGGACTTAAAATTATTTTGTTTTTGTTTGTTTATGTGACTAATTTCTTGAAAAACTTTTATTTTTTAACACTTATCTTTATTAACTAAGAAGCCCCCTATGTAATTGCAAATATACAGTGAAAATGTCCTCTTTAAAAAGAGACATCAGGGATCTTTTACAACCCTATTGCCCCCACAGAAGCCGATGAAGTAGAGATTTGCTTCTCCAGCTTCACTCTGGCTAGAGAAGCCGAAAAATGACAGCTAAATGCGGAAGTGATGGAATACACATCATGTCCGCATTCAGAGATCGGAGGGGAGATCAGCCGGAGATTGCATGCTGACCTCCCTCAAACCTCCATTCAGAGAGTCACTGTGTCGGGCTCGCACAGGGGACAGTGGAGCCCGCCCAGGATAAGTGGCGACGGGAAGGGGGGTTTACCGCATACAGGAGCGCAACATACAAGCAGCATTGCCGGCTGTTAAAAATTCATATACTGTATGTTTTAAAACGTCCACCGCATTTAGGAGGGTCCCGTCCGGCCGTTTAGTTACAACTTGTTAAGCAGCGTACCCAAAAAAATAGGACATAGCGGAGTCCGGGACTGCAGATTTTAGCCTTATTTACACTGTACATATTTAAATGTTTGTGGTAAAGTTTACATGTGGACAGCATACCCTATTGGCTGCTGTCCAAGGTCGACAAGTCAATATCAACAATGTGTAGCCAGCGTTGCATGCGCCCCTGAATAAACACTTTTAATATTTACACAGTGGCCCTGAACGAGTAGCACATAGGGGAGGCATAACCTTTAGTTATTCATGAAATCATAAATCACTGGCCGAGGTCATTCTGCGCATGCACCGCATGAATGACTCATTTGGGGACAACATGCACACATCAATAGCATGTAATGAGTGGCACAGGTGCAGCTACACATTGTCAAGTCAGCCAACGTTGCCAAACTCCCCAATAGTTTTTAATAGGTATAATTATGAACAGCAGTTTTATTTTTTTCTACTTCAGCAAAGCTCACAGTAGGCGTGTTCCAAGGCCTAGATATTATTTGCTTAGTTGCTGTAAAGATTAATTTCTACTCCCATTAAGTATATCAGAGATAGTCTTATTTACGAGCACCTCCCATGGGTCTTTACACAACTTGTAAGAGAAAACAATTTTCAGTTGCATAATTTTTCATTGGATAACCATTACCCTGGCTCTTATTTTCACCTCTTGCAGTATGAGGATAGTGTATTTTAACTAGCTGATTGACTAGTATATAATTGACATCTGTACAGAGAAGGGTAGGTAATTCTTAATTGTCATTAAAATGCTTTAGGAGTTAAAAATGATTAATGGTCCTTAAAGAGCTAATGATCATACTGCTGTAGTTGGAACTAAAAGGGTAACTCCACTTTAAATATAAAAATATATAGCATATATAATTGTTGCTCAAGCCATTTCATTTTGTAAGTTATAGTAAAAAATTATATTTCCATTTAAAATGGTAGCTGCTGTAATATCCTAAATATGTAAAACAATTCAATGAAATATAGGGACCCGGAAGTGTTCTGTACACAACTGGTGTACGAAACCCCCCAGAAAAGTAACTTCCTGCTTCTGTGATTGGCTGACTGATTTCACCAGAAGTCAGTACGAAGGTACAAGTACATATTTTGGTATCCTTTGCAATCGGAATTTCAGCACAGCACAGGAAGCCTACCAGCTGATTATTATGAACCCAGACCCTCCCAGGGATCAGTTTGTTGCAGCATGTCCTTTCCAAACAGCTATTTCTTCAGAATAGAAACAGGTAGGAATCTGCAACAAACTGTAATAAAATCCTTGTAATGTACACAGATCACCCAGAGAGGATTGATTTTTTTCTCAAAATGGTGGGAATTTATGAAAGGCAAATTCTACAAAGTTACCGTTGTCCTTTAACCTCTTGGCTGCCTAGCCCTCCGGGAACGCTTCTAACCTCAATTTTTTTCCTTAGTTTTGATGCTCCATTGCTAGCTTTTGTAGGTCATGCGATAATTGTGCAAATGTTTATCAAATCAAAAATAAAGAGATAAAAATACACATTAAAACTGATAAAAGCACACTAAAGTCAGTATTAGTGCACAAATAAAAAATATTTCCTGATAATCTACAAAATAAAACTGTATTGAGGAAATAAATTTGTCAATTTTAAATTGCACCTTTTTGTAAAACGGCGTTGGTGGGTGTGTTGTGATAAAATGATACAGGTATACATTTAATCATAACACAGCATATCACAACGCACAGCAATGCGTCATAACATTTTGCCATGCGCTGTCACGGTTAAATTAATGTTATTTTGAAAAGAAAAATCAAGCACTGCAATGTGTTCCAACAACGCACCGCAGCACATGGCTTACACCACAATGCAGTGCACACTATTGCGTGTGTGTGGTGTTTTATTTATTTTTACTGTTGGGGGGGGTTCTGGGAAATATCAGGAGTCTAAACAGACCCCTGACATCTCCTTTTTGAAATTGAAAAATAAATTGAGGATACAGAGTCCTCAATCTCTTTTTCTGCAGCCTCTGTTCTAAATAAAATGGAAAACACTAAGTACAGAGGCTTCCCATTTATTCCGAAACTGGTGAATAGAGCTGCAACAACGAATTGACTGAGTCGATTATAATCGATGATGAAAAAAACGTTGTCAACGTTTTCCATCATCGATTAGTTGGCATTCGATTAGTTGCCCTGCTCGCACCTCCACGCACACACCCAGTTCTCACTGACTGATCCTGTTCAAGGGGGTGGTGGTGGCCGCCACTGCCAGACCCGCCCACACCATCCACGATCGCCACAGGGAAAATTATTAAACTGAAGCGAGGAGGAGCGAGCAGGAGGGACAGCAGCCGCCGACAGACACGCCGCACACCATGATCTTCACAGGGAAGAAAGTTGCTTGGAGACTGCTCAGCAGGCAAGATGTCTGGGAACTATAGGGAGATGTGCGTTACTGAAACGGGCAGGGGTGGACGGCTCAGCTCATAAGGCGAGATGTTGGGGAACTAGGGGCTCACTGGCCGGGCTCTGGTTGTGGTTAGTACTGTATACTGTTTATACACGAGGAGGGGAGGGCAGCCTAGGACTGCAAGGAGGAAAGCACATGTCTGTGGTAATGTTTCCCCCTCCCCCTGTGAAATGTTCCCCCCTCTATGGTACATTGTGCTATATAATGTATTGCTGGGTTCTGTATTCCTCTATAGCTGATGGTACAGTGCGCTGTATAATGTATGGCTGGGATCTGTATTCCTCCATAGCTGATGGTACATTGTGCTGTATAATGTATTGTTTGGATTTGTATTCCTCCATAACTGATGGTACAATGCGCTGTATAAAGTAATGCTGGGATTTGTATTCCTCCATAGCTGATGGTACATTGCACTGTATAATGTATTGCTGGGATTTGTATACCTCTATAGCTGGTACATTGTTCTGGTGGGTGGCTACTTTTGTTCCCCATGTTCCCTGTGTGTTTTGTAAAGTAGCCACCACTCCAAGCTTGCTCCCACGTGAGACAAACATCTCAAAGCAAACTAATAGTCCAGCACTGGAGCGATTTAAAAAAAAATGTATTTTTAATACGATTAATCCAACTCGGGTTTTTTTTGTTAGTAGCTGTCATCCATGGCTTGTTCACTAATTTTACAGGGGACCCTTCTGATATAAAGTTCATGGACACTAAAGCGACCATGAGATTATTGCAGAAGGGAGAAAGCCACCGACGTAAGGCTTACCGGGCTGACCAGCTGGAAGCAGTTGTGCTCTGCCGTAAGCCTGTCGGTGGCAGCAAAAGAGTTAATATGGTTTTTTTTAGCTTAAGAGACCAACTTGTTCACATATTG